GAAGAATGATGAGCGTCAATTAATTGTGCGCATAGGTAAGTGAAAGCAAGTTAGTAAGTTATACATTTTTTGATCATTTTAATTTTGCAAAGAAATAAAGTTAGTAAGTTATACATTTTTTTATCAGGATACGAACTACTTCCTCGAACGTTTGAATCAATGCTTCAAGATTTGCGGGCAAAGAACGAGGAAGGATACGATTACATCAGCCTCATCGTTAAAGAAATGTGGACGAACGCATATGATGGTGGATATCGATATGGACACATGACGACCAACTTGGCTGAGGCAATCAATTCAACCTTAAAGGGTGCACGTCATTTACCTGTAGCGGCTTTGGTAAAAACTACATATTTTCGCTTGGGGGCGTTTTTTGCGAAGCTCGGGGGACAAGCTCAAACCTGGATGCAAGGCGGTCATGTCTATCACCCTAGATTAGTTGCAGATCTACAGAAAAAAATTGCTGCATCAAATGAAATGTCTGTAACAAGCTTCTCTAGAAGGCATGAAATGTTTCGTGTCACAGAGTTGCCGCGACCTCTTCAAGGGATTGAAGCTGTGTCGTTAAGAGTAAATCTAAGGGACAGAACGTGCGACTGTGGGTTTTTTCAAGCTTTGAAGTATCCATGCTCTCATGTGATAGCATATTGCTCGCATACACGTCAAGACTATAACCATTTTGTGGATCCCGTATACCTACTATCTGAAGTTTTTAAGGTATACGAATTTGAATTTCCCCCCATAGGTAATGACAAAGACCCTGATAAGGTTCAAGATTGGCTTCCGATTGTACCAAATCCGAGTTTATTGAGGGAGCGTGGTCGTCCAAAATCCAATCGAATTCATTACGATATGGATATTCGAGAAAGATCTAGACAAGACAGAAGATGTGGCCATTGTAGAAACTCATGACACACTAGAAAAACATGTCCACTTCTGTTGTCATCAAGTAACAATTGATGAGGAAATGATGTATTTGTTTATCAAATAATAATTCTTGTATTTTAATTTGCATTTACTTCAAGTTAATGTTATTCGATAATCGCTGATGAAGATTAAAAAAACGAACACAATCATTAAATTTTATCAAACTAATAACAATTTGGTGTTTAAATACAACAAACTTACAATAAGAATTAAATGGTAAATGATAACCAAATTACAATAACTAATATTAAATGGTAATAAACAAAATTAACTGAAATATATTAAAAAAAAGTCCAATAAATTTAACAAAATAAAGTAAGTATTAAATGAGAAATAATAAAAAATTACAATTAAACAAAATAAAGTAAATACAAATATAATAAAAAATATCTATAGATGCCTGCGTCGCGAATGTGTTCCGCAGGGCGATGGCTGTCGGTCTCGAGGAGGATTTCTTCGTATCACTAGTTCTGACTCATCGTCGTCGTCGTCGTCGTCGTCATCATCGTCGTCGTCGTCGTCCTGAGCAAGTACATTAGGTTGATGAGGAGCTGATGACGATGAAGCACCTCCATAGAATAAGGACCCTGGAGGTGTATGACTGACTATCCCACTGGCCTGCGAAAACTGGGAAAACCCAGACATCGCTAAGTGTGAAAACTGTACAGGAGGTGTCTGTGATGCGACCATGGGTGATGAGGCTGAACACACCAAATATCCAGCATATGAATCCCAAGTCGGATTTGCAAACATAGACCTATAATAGCCTCCAGGAGGGGTCATCTGTGACGGTGGCGACGGCGGGGTCATAAAACTAGGTGAAGGCGGCGGCGACGGCATCTGGTAATGGAAAGGCGATGACGGCATCATATATGGTTGTGGCATCATAAATGGCTGCGGTGGCTGTTGTGAAGGTCCTGCTGGTGCAGCTGAGGATGAATCGGAAGCACCTGCTCTCCGTCCACGAGTCAGGGGGCGATGGTGCTGTGTCGGTGAACGTCTCTGTCGACGTCGTGGAAAAGTCTGCACTCGTGCATCCTCAGGAAGTAGAAACGGTTTCCCGTTTCTGTTGAACCACTCATAATAATCCTCAGCATATATCAAGAAGTCAGTAAAAATGGGCTCTCTACGTGGAAGGCGCCGATGTCGATCCTCCCACAACACGACCCACTCATGATGCCTCACCAGCCAATCTATATCTGTCTTGCCGCGTCTATCTAAGCTATGCAACTCGTCCATATTGCGAGGTGCTTCCGGAATTGGTTGAAAACAACCAAACTACCGGAGCACGCGATCAGTGGAGTGCCACTCGACGGTCGCATAACAGATCAGAGGGACCATCGCCATCCAAACATCTGATGGACCCTTCAACTCATGTGGGATCACCGCCCTCACATCATTAGTAGAATATGACACTCATTCAAACTAAAACAAATAATATATAATTTTTATCAAAATAATAATCTAATTATATAACTATAATCTAAAATCGATTTTTAAACATTAAAATTCATACATGTGTGCCAGCCTTCTGATCGATTAGCACCCTAATTTTTTCTAAATCATCAGATAGCTCATGATGATTTTTTCTATCAGTAGACCACCTATTCAAGGAAAAAAAATTATTATACGCTGTATAAAATTATTAATATACAAAATCAGTTTTATAATTACCTTAAAAGTAGTGGAAATACGAATGGGTTCTTCACAACGGGACATAAAAAGGGCAATCGATACCATGCCCAAGACTACAGTAGTAGGAGACATCCGCCGATAGCATTACGCCTGTAGTCAGTGGCTCCACACATCTCCCTATATAACAAAGCCAAAACTGCCGAGCCCCAACTGAATGATCCGGCGAGACGAAAGTTGCTAAGATGTCGCAACCACATGCAATGAACTAGGTTGCGCGATTTGTTTGGCATCAGCAACCCTCCTATCAACTGTAATATGCATGCCTGTGCATACATCTTAACCTCATCCTCAGAGGCGTCTGCGCTCAACTCCCGAAAATTGGCATCTAACCAATTTAACGGTATCCAACCTCCGATAAAACTTTCCGGGACACGTCCTAGATTATTCCGACACAAAGTAGTCCAAGAACCGGAAGCTATCCCTGATATCACATCTCCATCCACCGGAAGCCCCAGGTGCATAGAAACATCCTCAAGCGTGATCGTGCACTCTCCGCACGGAAGATTGAATGTGTGGGTCTCCGGTCTCCACCACTCTACTAAGGCAGAAATAAGGTCTGGTTCTATCTTACAGTGACCCTGATATCTACCTATGTAACCAAATTCAGCCTCTACTAAATACGGCACGACACGGTTAGGTATCACTAACTTAAGATTCCTAATAAAAGGATCTAATACACTGTCCTTCTCCTAAAAATAAATAATTACAAAATTTAATTCTTAATCTAATAATCATGCATTAAATAAATCAACTAATTATTACTAATAATTTAAATTAAATTAAAACGTTAAAATGTTACCATATCAGCAAAGTGTCGAGATATATGATTTCCATCCAAGCGAAGTAGATTGCCTTCCATTATATATCTGCAAAAGAATTATATTAGTAAAATATTAAATAAAGTAAAATAATTAAATAAATTAAATACATAATATTAAAAATATTATAAAATATACCTTAAATAGAGAGAGTATTTGAGAGAATTTGAGAGAATTTGGTGTGATGAAAGTGATTGAGGATGGGGGTATTTGTAGGGAAGATTGGGGGTGTGAAGCGTCGGGGGTATGGGGGTAATTATGGGTATAGCACCCCCCCTAACCGCACTATACCCCACGTGTCAGATAAGCAGGTATAGCGCGGTGCAGGGGGCGCGTTATACCCCACGTGGCGCCAAATCAACATATAGCGCGGGGCAGGGGGCGCGCTTTACTGCTACGAGTGTTAGATCGGGAAATATAATCTGACCGGTGTTAGATCGGTAAATATACCGATCAACGGTGATTTTTCGGGAATTTCACCTCTTTCAACCCAATCAATCTCTTAATATGACCTTGAAAACTACATATCTTCTACTTGTCAGATTTTACTTCTCATGCCTGAATGATCGTATAATGTTTGTTTATGTTGAGTTAGCTAACTAAAAAAGAATGAACAAAACTTTTTATGTCTATTTAATAAACGAATGAATGTGAACAGAGGTGGATTCAATTCATTTATGTTCAATTTGTTTATGAATTCGTTTAATAAATGAACGAATGCAAACAGATGTGTGTTCGATTCATTTATGTTCACAAACAAACTCGTTTATTAGATTGTTCATTTATGTTCATTAACGAGCTCGTTTACCCGCTTATATTTTTTCCTTTATATTTTTTACATCTTAAATATTAGTGAAAGTAAAGACTAAATTGAACACATTGTAAAAGTTAAAATTTAAACTTTGAGTTTTAAAGATTTAAGCACTAGTGACATAATTTTATCATTTTTTAGCTTGCAAATGAAAGTGTAAAACTAAAATTTCAACTACGAACGATAAACGAAACATTAGAGGAACATGTTCATAAACACCAAAATGAACATATTCCTAAACTTATAAATAAACTTTTTTGTAAACATTAAATGAGCATGTTCGCGAACAATAAATAAAAAAATGTTATTTACATAATAGAATACGAATGAACACTAATATCTTCTACTTGTCAAAAAAAAAAAATCAACGTCGGTCAAAATCACAATCAAACATAGTTGAAGTGATCATCCTAAAACCAAAATTTTCACTTCATAATCATCGACCTTTTTATTACAAGGAAGTATCTGTTCAAAAGACTCTCAATCATTTAACAATAAATGCTTAAATACCTCTATAGAAGTCGTGCTTGAACCTAATACCTCTAGGGATAACGATCATTCACGATTGGTTCGTGTGAGAGCTATTACAATCACTTAAATGAATAGGGTATAGATTGAATAAGTCATTTAATCAAGAGAACACATGAGTGGGAAAGACAAATGTTTTCCAACGTAACATCAAAATTCAAGAATTTACAATATTTCTTAACAGCTTACAGTTCTCCTACTCGGATGCTCGATCGAAGGAACTAATCGGTTCCGAGTAAACTCGGGTATAGGCCTCCATTTACACGGTGCCGATTATGGTTCTTGTCGCTAGACCCTTGCTTCGGAAGGTCATGCAACTCCATTACCTGTATTGTCCGCTTCCTCTTGGCTGTTGAACACGGAAAACATTATCAGAGCAGTTCAATGCGATCGTAAAAGAGTTTGAATTGTAATTGAACTTTGAGCTAATCGAAGTCATATTTCAGTTGACACCATTAGTGCTGCAACAACCTAGAGGAAGGAGTTCGAGCGTGCTTAAGCACACGATTTCCCCCAATTAGGGGTTTGGGGTATTATACAGAGATTAAGAACCATAAAATAGATGACTCATATGGAATCGAGATAAGAAGGGACAAACCATTCTCGGCCTGTTCATATCGTTCTTGAAGCTTCCTTTTTGTGGCCCCAAGCTTTTGCTGGACGGAAAGTTCATCCGATGTTTTGAATTTCTGATTACCGAAGAAGAGTTATCAGAGAAAAGTCTGAAGGTGTAAGTTCGAAGTAGGAAGAGATCATTCACTTACATCTTGTTGACTGCCGAGAGGCTTCTTCGGGACAGCCATCTTATCCGGTGTCTGCAGCAACCTTGATTCTGTGCTGGACTTTTGCTCCGCATTGTTTTTCGGGGGTCTCCTGGACTTGGTATTTATGCTCGAGGGCTTGCTATTAGGATTTGCAGCAGGTTCTTCTTAATTTGTTGACTCTTGTCATCCTTCCTTTTGAATTCGGCACTGCTTCGTGGATCTGAAAATACAATCCACGATTGTAATCATGTATCTTCAAATCGAGAACCAAATGGCAAAAGTATCGAAGAGATGCACTGAAGGTAGAAAATTCAACTCACTTCCATCATCATCCATGCCATCGAAGAACTTCAGGCAATGTTAGCACCAGCGACGAGGGAAAAAAATATTCGAATAAGTCCAAATGCAAAAAAAGTCAAAATCCTATTGGTAAGAAAAAGATCAAAAAGTAAGACCTGTGAGAGTTCCATTGATGTAGGTTGAGTCGCAAAGAAAGCTCCTTCATCTAATGGCGGAAATGGAAGCCCTTCTTCTTCTACTTCATCAACGACAGATGGATTCATAGATTCGGGAGTACCCTCTTCATTCACAATAGCGTCCGTCGCACTAAACCATTCATCCACCAGTCCCTTCCACCCACTGCAAACCACAAAAGTCAATGAATATATCAGGAGAAAAAGCTGTTAATATTCTTAGGTCAAGGAAGTAAGCAAGTCTAGCATCAGAGATGAGTTCTCGTTAAGCCACCGATCATTTAAATAAGGAATGCTGAGCGTTCCAATGTCGGTATGTTAGCCATGATGCTCAAGCTAGTTAAGAAGAGCACAAACATTCATTAATGCAAATCAAGGGATCCCATGATTAGTATATTAAATTATTGCATAGGTAACAGAACACGAGATCGGCCGCGTCATATCTGTAATATGACGATAAGGCAAAGAAAATCAATATATGCAATTTAATAAGAGCCAACAATTTCATACTTGATGCTAAAGCTCATAGAACGCATGAATTATGGAATCAAATCAAGTTCTTTTATTTGATTATCCGCCTCGAACCATGTAAAACCGACAGGCAATCATACATACTTATGAAGCTCGACAAGAACATATTATTCATGTTCAGTTTATCACACAGCATATCAAATCAATCATCGAGGAGTGAAATTACAGGTGAAGAGCTTCTCAGCAATTTGGTCTCTTCTTAATGTGAACTCTTTAGGACAATCCAAAGCTGCCACCATTATTGCATGATCGATTATATCAAACATCTCTGAATTTGATGTCCGGAAATAATCCCTCCACCGCTCTAATGCCAAACCTCTCATCATTTTTGTCGAAACAATTAAGGATTCGAACAAAAAGAATCAAGATGGACAAAAACAAAAGTTGGTTGTTGATGTTTTTCTTCACTTTGTCAGAAAGTACACGAATTTCCTGGCGAAAGTAAACTGGAAATGAAAATAGCTTGAATTTTCTGGAGAAAGTAAACTATCAAGGGAAAAATCTAAAAAATAAAGAAAAGAAACTATGAGCAAGAAGCAGCAGAGAGAGAAAATGAGGTGAATTAGGTCAGATTTTGGGTGGTATTGTGTTTTGGCTGAATAATAATACCAGGTGCTGGCGCTAAAAAGCTCAGATTTTGATCTATAAAAAACCCACATTTCTCTCTATACTACCATTTTTGTAATGTTTTTTTTTTGACGGAACCATTTTTGTAATATTTTGTTTGGTACGAAGAGGGAAGCTTTTTTTTTATTTGGCACGTGTCTAGGGCAAAGGAAAACGAATTTAGATAAGTAGAGCATGAAGCTGTCTATCTTACTAGTTCACTCCGGCATTTTAAAAAATTAATTCTTTATTAAATTTTGATTAAACTACGTTTTTAGTATTTAAATAATTAATTTTTATCTGTTTTAAAACTTAAATTTTTATTTTTTAAAATAACACTTAACATTTAATTTTTATTTCATTTTAATACATACTGTTAAAAATTTATCGTGTTTAGTACTTAAGCAATTAATTTTAGTCCGTTTTAATACATAAACTTTCAAATTTTTCAAGGATAGAAAATCAAGGGACAAGAAGTTGAAAGAGAATTCAAGGAATATATGATTTTGTTTATTATATAAGAAATAATGGTATAGTGGCTATTGAAGGGTGATTTGGGTAAATATTTTGTTAGGATTGTTTTATAGGATTGCTATTAGTGCCTTACTTAATATCCTCAGAGGCTACTTTTTTCCCTCTTCTTTCGGTAATTTTGTGGATAATACTTGGAGGTATTAGCTCCGATGCATCATCCTTGCAGAGAACAAGCATATGCTACATTGGTATCTGATTTTTTTTCTCATGGTGTTCGATGATTGGATTGCCATGTTCCATTCTTTAGATGATTATGATCTTCAAAGTACAATGTGGCACCTGCTAAAGTTATGTTCACTACTTGTATGACGCTTTCAGCCTTAACTTGTGTTCTACTATCGTTTTGGCATATGACTTGTAATGAATATCTGTTGAGATTGAACATTTAAAATCTCGCTTGATCACCAAATAATTTATTTTCTTGGAGTACTCTTCTTATATCTTTACTTTAGACTGCCATGTTTTCTAAATGATATGTTAAAATATTGTTTTCTGCCATAGCCTTCAGGTGTTTTTACAGAACGAATGGAGAGATATTCCCAAAGTGAAATAAGATTCAATCTCATGGCAGTTATCAAGAACAGGAAAGAGATGTACACTGCCGAACTTAAGGAGCTCCAAAAGAAGAGGGAACGCGTCTTGCAGCAGCTGGCCACCGTACAGACCGAAAGACCTACAGACAAAGCCAGTTTCGAAGCACTAAACAAGCAACTTTCTGAAGTGAATTCAGGGATTGAGGGTGTCACTGAGAAAATTTTGATGGAGGAGGAGAAATTCAAGAAGTGGAGAACCGAAAATATTTGGAGGAAACACAACTACATACCCTTCTTGTTCAACTTCCTCAAAATCCTTGCTGAAAAGAAGCAATTGAAGCCGCTTATTGAGAAAGCCAAGCAGAAGAACAGCATCTCCAGGTGGAAATGCTTTTTTGTTTCTTGTTTCTTGTTGCTTTTTCTTTTTATTTAATATTTTTGGCTGACTGGATGCTCAGTTCAAACTTGAAGTTTAGTGCAAATCCAAAAACGAGTGAGCTAAAGGACCATTTTAATATCATTTCAACTCTGCTGTTCCCAAATGACTTCTTGAATTTGTATTGGTCTTTTCTCCCCGTCCCATATTTATTGATGAGTCTTAGAAATGGGTATGTGTTTAACAGGTTTATGTTTAATTGTTAAAGTCTTTTCATGTGTTTGAAAGCTTTTTGGCGTATGAATCAAGTGATCTTAGTAGTTAAGGGATTGCTATTATTACTTGAGGTCCCGAATTCTAGCATCGCATATATTGGAGTGTATGGGCGTTCACAGTCAAATGGTTGAGAATCTTTGAATAAATACTATGAGCTTAACACGGTTATGTTTGATTTTTAAAGTCTTTTAATGTATTTGAAAGCTCTATAGAGTACGAATCAAGTGACCTTAGTATATAAGGGATTGTGATTATTCCTTGAAGTTTTGGATTCGAGCATCGCATATAGTGAAACGTATGAACGTTCACTGTTAAATAGTTGAAAGTTTTTGAATATATTATATCCATGCCATAATGTGAATGAGTACATTTCTTAAGCTTCGAGGGTCGAAGTATTTAACTATTGTATCTTTTTATTTTGACTATCGATCTTTTAGTTTTGTCAATCGAACTATTTAATTATTTGAATTTTTCAATAAGATCGTTTGCCCTTAACATTTAACAAAAGGGATGGGATGATATGACTGTTAAAAGAAATTAGTATAGTTATTTAATTGATCTTTAACACTTACCCATTTTGTTAATTTAATGTTGATTTTAATTTATTTAATAAGTTTAGTTCTTCAATGCGTCCAAAGGAAGGTTAGGAAATGGCTTTGCCAATAGGAGAAACCCCAAAATTAAGTTATGCAAGGAGAAGGAAGAAAAACCTGATTTAGAAAATTCCAAGGCATCTCTTTGTTTTGTTTGGAAATGGAAAATGTGTAAAGGAAAAGAACCCCACATTGTTTGAGAAAGAAAAGGAGATGACACTTTGTAAAAAAGACCTAGGATCTTGATTTCATGAAATTCTAAGTTAAATAATAATTTGATATTTGATGGTTAAGTGAATTATGATTATGATGCAAAACTTGTTAAATAATATTCATTATAAATTTTCTTAAAATAAACGTATACACTCTTCAGATGCAATTGTACAATCCCGAACCTTTTAAATCTCAAAGTTTAAGATTTCTAAGGAGAACAACACACGTTTAAGATTTCTAAGGAGAACAACACACTTTGTAAACGCAACTGTCATAAATTACGTCCTATGTCCTGTACACAAGAAATGACATTCCTCTCTTCCTTGAAGATACCATATAACAAGTTATTGAAGAAACAAAAGGGTCACAAGAAAGAAAAAAAACAGAAACCTTGAATAAACACTCACTTATGTAGTTACGTAAAAAGAGTTATTTGCTTTGTGATGCTTCTTTCCAGCCAAGATCTGGCCTGCTTACATCTACCTGAGGCTCTTCATAGTCTCCGGCGTCACGAATCGAGGATTCGAAGTCAGTCCAATCACTCGCAATGGGAAGAAAACTACTTATATCATCCCTAGCTCCGAAGCCCCCAGCTCGAATAACATCGTCGGCTTCTCCAGAGGTCCCCGTATTTTGCACGGTTGTCATCTTCTCCCTCACCTTTCCAATCAGCTGGGTTAACCTGCACATTGTTGCTTGGAGATCACGGTTCCCTTTTACAGGCATCTTCCATACCAACCTCGGAATAAGCTGATTCAGTTGCTTCGTTCCTTTTTCCGTTTTTATCTCTGTCTGTAACATTCAAACTCAGCAACAAACCTAAAAAGAAATGTCTGCACAATTCAAATAGATGCATTAAAAAGTTTAGCCATGCAAGTAAAATTATAATGTAATCAATCTCCTTCAAGAACCCAAATTAAACCTCCATGTAGCAAATGCAGTACAATAATCATATCTACTCATGTATTAAAAGTAACTTATAAAAGTCGAGAAATAACTTTATACGTCAATATCTGCAATATATTCGAATGCGTAACAGTATCGATACTACTTCTAGATTCCATGAAATGCTTGTACCCTTGTTATTGCATGGTGTGACTAACTTCAAATTCCTTTGCAAATTATAGTAATGGCAATTTGTTATTGTACGGAACAATCAAGTCTCTGCCTAGCAACATTCACCTTAGCATGTTATAATTGTCCTACAATAACTTCAAACGATTTCCAAAAGCCTATCTATGTTAGTAACAAGTAACCGACACTGGAAGTCATTTATAGGCTACTTCTTACAAGAAGATGCAAATTCTCTAGTGAGGTGGATGCATGTGCTGCTTCTATAAAAGTAACTTAAAAATGTTGATAAATTACACATTTAGTACCTAAACTATCAGTTTTTGTCCGTTTTAGTATCTAAACTTTCAAATTTTTTCAAAACCATACTTAAAGTTTAGTTTCTGTTTCATTTTAGTATCCCGCCGTTAGAAACTTTAGTTTTTGTTTGATTTTAGTACCCCGCTCAAAATTTAAAGTTAAGTTTTGAAAAATTGAAAGTTTAGGTACTAAAACGTAAAGTTTTTAATTGCGGGGTACTAGAATAAAATAAAAATTAAACTTTAGGTATACTTTTGAAAATATTGAAAGTTTAGGTACTAAAATCGATCAAAATTGATAGTTTAGGTCTTAAATACGTAGTTTACCCAATGTTTCACATGATCTATTAACATGTAGATAAATACTCAAACAAATAATTAGGCCTAACATCCTGCTTTGAAGTTGAAAACTTCTTTTACTTTGATTTACCCATTAATGAAAATTTAAGTCTTGTTTATTTAGCAAACAATCCTTCCCCTAGTAGTAGTGTCCGTCAGCAACTGCTAAAATGGGATGGTAGAGGTACGACAAACACATGACATCACCCTCACCTAAGAAAATGACCGTTATAATTTAAGGTATACTACGGATTTAGTACCTAAATTATTAATTTTGATCATTTTTAAAAATTTATCATTCATTTTTTTCAAAATCATACCTAACGTTTAGTTTTTATTTCATTTTAATACACCGCCGTTAAAAACTTAACGCGTTTAATACTTAAACTATAAGTTTTGGTCTGTTTTAATACCTAAACTTCCATTTTTTTTCAAAATTTAACAATAAATTTTGAAAGGGTACTAAAATGAAACAAAAACTAAACTTAAGGTATGATTTTAAAAAATTGAAAGTTTAAGTACTAAAACGGATAAAAATTGATAGTTTAAGTATTAAACGCATAATTTACCCTATAATTTATAGAGAAGCAACATAACTTCCCAAATTACAAGACCAGGTTTTCAAATCACGGTCTGAAAACGTGATTTCGTCCGCGAAATAACGATTTCGCCGCCGTCCGAGTTACCCACTACACCCGCAATATCGCTCGTGACGGCCACAATCACGGTAAAATCAAAATGACCGAAAACACGACCGCACCCGTGATTTAAAACCCTGTACAAGACATCACCCTCACCTAAGTAACATGACATCAGCAACTTCTCATGTTTAGCCAAGTAAAACACCAACTACGAGTAAGCGTATGAAAATACCATGTAAGACCTCAATCGATTCAGGCTCCATCGCAGCTTGCAATCTTCTTCGAGGGGTATTGGAATTCTCTTTTCTGCAAGAGAAAATGTATCAGAACAATAATGTAAAACGCAAGATGTTTTGCTTAATCGGCATAAATATATCATAATTTATGGGAATCGAGAATGCATCTTTAGCCAAATGATATTTAAGATGCAGAATGCACCGGCAATGAAAGGGTTTCTCTGCTAGGCATGGCTTGAATGAAAAGGTTTGGCTATCGGGAATTCATAATGCCAGTCTAAAGATTGCTTTAAAGATCAGTGATCCAAAAAACGATTATGTCGGAAACACTACGAGTCTGGGAGATACATTAAAAGCAACTGCTTATGGAACATGTTAATGGTGTAAGGAAATGCTTCATTTCACAATTCTAATGATTCTTAGACTACCAGAAGCAGATAAAAACTAAAAGCTGAAACAATTATCCGGGTGGAAGAAATACTTCAGGGATTAAAGTTGGTGGTAGAAATTACAGTACTGTCAACAATGGAAAGTGAGTAAGTACTTTTTGATTAAAGGACATCGCAAGTGCACCATTCTATCACACCGAGAGTCAGAGAATTAACTAAAAATGCACTCGGTAGCCGGGAACAAGTATGATGTACAAGCTAGATAGCGAGGAGAAAAGCCTCCAAAGAAAGAAGAAAAAGTTCGAATGCACCTGCATAAAAATGAATACAATTCACGAATATAACAATACTTTTGCCTATCAATTCAATCGCATTATCATCTCAGGGTTTGAAGTGTTGTGAACATTCATATTTCACGGATCGCATGATCACTATAATCATGGTAAAACATTTGAGCAAACGTGTATAAAGAGCATAGAGAATAGTTCCATAAAAATATGATACATATTCGACTTGGACTAACCTGGCGTTAACCAACTCCATGCATCGTTAAAGATGTTACCAAATGCAACACTGTTCTTACCTATTCCATGAATGTCCATGGAACTCAACCAGGTCAAGGATGCAAAACAAGATGGGGAGCAAAAGGGTATATTCATTATAAAAAAAATTACAAAATGCCTTATAATATACGATTTTAACCAACTTTTTTTGGATTTGCAAAAATGACCAACTAAATCGCAATGCGATTGATAATTCGCAACGCGACCTCCGGTATCGCAAATCAGTTTCCAGATTCGCAACGCGATTCTGACTATCGCATTGCGATTTCCCAAATTCGCGTTGCGATTTTTCTAATTCGCAATGCGAATACGTAAATCGCAACGCGAATTTGGAAAATCGCAATGCGATTACGTAAATCGCAATGCGAATCTGTAAATCGCAACGAGATTCTGACTATCGCAATACTGAATTTCAAATTCGCAACTCGATTTCTGAATTCGCAACAGGTTTTAATTTCGCAACACAAATGTTTTGGGTATATACCTACGCAGCAGCAGCAACTCATAACCTAAATCCCTAAATCGCAACTCATTCCATCTCCATCTATCACTATCTCCGGCGACATTCGTTCCTATATCCAACGACATCCTTCCCCATCCGGCAACATGTTTTAGTTTCGCAGCTCGTTTGTTTAGTAAATTAATTTACAATAATGAAATCATCTAATGTTGATCATGTTTGGATAGATTTGTGTTTTGGAGGGT